TGACACAGGGGCTGACGTTCCCCCTGGGCCTGGCCCTCTTGGACCCCCTGGGCCTGGCCCTCTTGGACCTTCTGGCTCTCCGCTGATTCCCAAAGGCTTCTGTCCATGAGGATTCAATCAGCCTCAGGACGGCTGACTGGGCTCGGGGGCAGGAGGGTTGTAAATCTGGGAGAGCTGCAAAGTATTCAGGGTCTTGAACTTTATCAGGTTTGAATGTGTGATTGTGAAAGTAAAGAGCAGAGAAATGACAGCACTCAGTAAATCAAACGTAGAGAAGATCAGAACTGTCAAAGACAAGAGAAAAACAGGCGCTGGGCACAAACCGGGCAGAAAAGCTGCAGGGACGGGAAGACTTTTATGTTCCCTCCAGACTTTGCCTTCTGAAAAACAAATCTTTTTCCCTGTCATTTTATCTAGAGAAGAGTATTATTTGTTATATCCCATAAATTCCTTTTTAAAGTTTTCATTATGAAGGTTTAGATCTTCTTTTAGAAGATAGGGTGCTATAAGAAAAAAAACAAAACAAAACAGAAAATCAGTTGAAAAATGACTGCAATGGCCTAGATTTTTTCCCTATCAATAACGTGTTCCTAGCTTCTCAGAGATCTTTTTTTCTTCCTTCAAAAAAACAATGTGATTAAAGTATAATAAATCTGCATATATAGCAAAACCAAATTGAAGAGTAAAAAGGCATAAGAGAAGTCTAAAGTTAGATGATCAGGTCACTTTAATTAGTTCTCTCCCCCCCTCCCCACCCCTGCTAATATCTAATGCCAGTCCTCAAGGTTACCCTTCTTAGTGATCTGTTAATTCACTCCTGTCTACTGCCAGAAAGAGGTTCCCAGGAAGGGGTGCTGCTGGGACAGGGATTCTTTTGTTGGAGCAGAGGAGGAGCCTCAAGATTACTGTCTTTGTCCTGTAGAAGACATTGCAGAAGATCTGTTGCTGGCATTTGCAAGGGGAACAACAAGGGATGTCTCCTCTTCAAAGGAACCAAAGACAAGTAGAGAACCTAATGTTTGTCTCACCCTTCACCTCCTTTCCTACCATAATGCAGTAAATAAAGTCTTCACTGCTAGTACATAGAAAAGGCTTGAGACCTCTGGTCAATCACAGGTCCCAACTGAATGAGTGCTCAAAGAAGTTATTTACTGGGAATTAAGTTTGCTCCTGTTGGGCCAAACAAGAAATCGAAATTTGGTGTAGTATATGAAAGTCTATTACAATAAATATTAGTAATAATATTCATATAGCACTTACTATGTGCCAGGTACTATTAGCAGTTTACATGTAAGAAACCTTTTCATCCTCTTAGCAATCCTATAAGGAGAGTACTTTTATTATGCCCATTTTGCAGATGAAGAAACTGTGGCACAGAGAGGTTGGGCTATTTGGCATGATCACATAGCTAGGAAACGGTGGCATCAGGATTGAAACCCAGGCAGGCTGGCTCAGGGTCCTGCGCAGGCCCAATGGCTCCTAGAAATTCCCTCAGTGTATGAGCCACTCCTTTCTTTTCAAACCCACTGGGTTGCCTAGAGGGCAATCTGGACTTGAGTACTTTTTTAGAGAAGGGAAAAAGACTCAGTCATCTCCTTCCATCTTGGAAAGTGGGATTTTGCCCAACCGGCTTTACAGAGGTGCCAACCTTCTAGACTGTAAACACTTCAAAACTAGGAACTAACTCTTCTCTTTCTTCCTTGTGCGGTGCATACTCAGTATGCACTGGGCAAGTGGCAGGGAGCTGGAGGACGGCAACCTGGTAGACAAGCCTTTGGTCCTAATTCTCTGCATATTTGCAACATAGCTGTATGGAGAGGTCATATTTCTGGGTAATTTTTTTGTTTGTTTCTTGGGCACATTTTGCCCCTTTAATTGACTCAAAGTGGGGCATTTGTAATTTAGCAAGTCTCCAAAAGCTGATTTCCTTCTTTTCCTTGCTTCCTTTTAGCATTCCCTGTCCCACACTTTTTGGTTTTGAAAAAACAAAGCCAAAAAACTACTGAACAGTCAGGAAGGTCTTTGAGCTGAGACAGCCCAGGGACAGTGGCATATGGACCCTGGCCCTAGAACTGGCGTGGCCTGCACACCTTGTGATACCAGCAAAATCCAGGAAGAGCCTAGGTCCTGCCTGTCTAGTGGGTTGGATATTTCTCCATCTCTTTCACCTTCTTGGGAGCAGAAATGTTCCCTTTTCCTCTGATGCGCTAATTTTCCCCTCCCCAGAGGCCGGTGGGGTAAGGATTATGTAGGACGGATGATTTTTGGCATTCACCTTATTTGGAAAGATAACAAAAAAAGAGAAGCATCTTCCACTTCCCAGCCAGTGTGAGGGGGCAGACAGCAGACCCTGGGGTGCCTTTTGGAATTGAGAGTCCTGCCCCCACCATCTGCCAGAGAACACACTGGGGGAGGCAGAAGACTTGGGAAAGCCCCCCTGCCGGGAAGCCAAGGGGTCTCATCTGAAACTTACCGCCACCCCATCACCTCCTTGTCCTATTTCAAAGAGGTAGAAAAGGTTTATGCTGGTCTGGAATATGGACTCCTTTTACTTAAGGGAAGGAGAAAACTTCAAAAACATCACAACTGACTCCCCAGTCTCACTTTTTAGTATTCAGGATCAGGAAACTGGATCTTCCCTGCCGTCACCCTTTGGTGAAAGGGAAGGGATCACTCCAGGGGCAGGGCCTCGGCCCAGCTGGCAGCCCTAGGCTTTATGTAGTGATGCCAGTAGCAATTAATAATGATAATAAATACCACACTTCAAACCAAACCCAAGCCGAGGATGACTGAATGATTGGACCTCTGCCTCCCACCTGCGTGCGGTTACTCTGCGAGTCCACACCCTCCCGGGCAGCCTCAGTTCCACCCACCACCTTCAGCCTGGGATTCAAAGGGAGCGCTGCCCCGGGACCAGCGACGTGGACCAGCACACTGCCCCTTAGCAGACCCACAGGGAGTGGGATGGTAGGTGGGGGCGGTTGGGTTTTATCTTTATTATTTAGTGTCAGAAAATAATCAAAACGGGGTGGTAATTTCGGCCCCCTGAGCTCGGTTTAGTTTTTCCACGAAGTGCAGGGGGGCCGTTTTAAGATCCCCACCTGGAGCTCCAGAGCTTCCGGGGACCCCCGTGTCCACCCTGTCTCCTAGGGCCTGGCACTCCCTGGCCCCGCAGCCCGGGAACCTCCACCTTCCCCAGGCGGCAGCCACAGGTCCCGCTGGGCCCATCTGAGGTCTGCGGCCGCCGAAGTCGGGGTCTTAGGGCGTCAGGGAGCAACCAGGCCTCGGGGAGGGAGGCCGGCGCCGGCGCGGAATTTCTTTATCGGGATTTGAGAGCCGCAAGCTTCTCCTTCGCTTCTTTAAGCGATCACGGAAAGACACCTTTCGATCTTTTGTCAGACATTTTGGCCCTTAATAGCTAAATTTATTTGGTTTAAAGCGGCTACGGGAGAAGCAGGGAGGGAAAATCTTTCGTCGGTCATTGGGTGGCCTAGATAACAGACTTGGAGAGAGAGGGGAGAAGAAAGTAAAAAGGTTAATGGATGAGGGGAGGGCTGGAGGCGCCCGGCGTGGGGCTTTTACGGCGACCCTCCCCCGACCGCCCCCTTATCGCGGCCCGAACTTACCCGCGGCGCAGCGAGTACATTAAGTCACGTAAACAGCGCGGAGAGGAATGCCACCGCGGTGACCTTTCGTGCGCCGCCGCCGCGAGCCCACCTCCGCGCCGTGCTGGCGGCCGCCGGCGGCGCGCGGGGGTCGGCCGGGGGCTGCGCCGGGCGAGGGGCCTCCGGGCCGGGCCTGGCCTGCGTAACGCGCCGGGCCTCGATTCCGACCGCCCGGGGACCCCGGCGCTGGCTCTGCGCGGTCCTTCCCCCGAAGTGGCCGGCGGCGGGGAGCCGGCGCTGGGGGTGGGGGCGACCTTTGAGTTTCCGCCGCCACCACCTGACGTTTCTAAAGAGTGTTTTTGGTTTTCCGAGATTTAAACTTAAAAGAAAGAAAATCACCGCCAGGACTCTGGTCGACGGCCTACGGTGCAGTGCGGCCACTGAGTGGGGGACACGCCGCCTGGAACTCGCCACTGGCCCCAGACGCTGGCAGGGGTGGGGGGCTCTGAGGTGACCCTGGGTCCTTGGGTAAAAGCGTCCCGAGACGGGAAGAAATATGGTATAAGCGAGAAGGCCTCATAAATCTGGGCTGTTAAAAATCTAAGTTAAAAATATGTTTTAAGTCAGAAATGCATTCTTTTTCTTTATGAAACATCGCCGAAGCAGCCAGTTTTGTGACAGGATAGTAAAATGAGCGAGAGTTCGCGGGGGTGGAGGTGCACCGGGACGCGGGTCCTTGCCGGGTCTCGCCGCTCCTCCGGAAGCGGCGCAAGACTGGGTCCCCAAACACCCTTCCCGTTTGGCAGCCAAGCCCCCGCCCCCTGCCCAATTGGCTGCAGTGTTCTGGGTGGATTTGAATCGCGAATAGTGGTGTGGCGCGGCCCAAATAAATCAATCCTGGGGACAGGCCGCGCCCGGGAGCCAGCCCTCTGTGAGGGTAAGGGGAACGACTCGCCCAGGAGGGGCCGCTCATTGGGTCTAAACAGTCCGGAGAGAAACAGTTTCGTTCAAGATTAGCAAATCCCGAAAGAGGAGACAGGCAGGGGTGAAAAAAAAAAAAAAAGGAAAAGAAGGAAAAGAAAATATATATATATACCCACGAAGAAAACAGGAACTTTTAAGAGCTATCCGTGTACTTTGGACACTAGTGGGTGCCTTCTCCCCAGCTCTTGGGTTTCTCCCTAGTTTGGGGTGCACCTCTTCCCTCAGAACTTCCTAATCTGCCGGCCTTCTAGACCAGCTGGGGCGCGCCCAGGAAGCTCCACGAGCGGGCCTGGGGCTCATGGGAGTGGCTTTGAAAACATGCTTGTCTTCCCCAGAGTTGTCCCTAGCGCCAAAGATGCACTGGGGAAAAGGCACATTGGAGAGGTCAGGCAGCTTGGTTTTCTGTCTGAATCAACTGTACGAGTTAAACAGTTTTATTTTGAAATTAACCAACACACACAAAAACAACAACAACATTCACTACCCATTCCCTCGTTTGGTTGGAAAACCAGTATGAAAAAATAAATACAATCTGTGACCATGAAAAGGAGCAATCACTTATTTTTCCCATTTGTTTTGAACATTATTTTAAAAAATAGATTGGGAATCTGGAGGGTAAAATGCCGGGTCCCTTCCCGAGCCCTTAGAGCCCGAAGGTTGTCGAATCGGTCAATGTCCACCCCGCCGCTCACCTCTGTCCCAGCAGCGCCGGGGCCAGCGCGCCCTTCTGCCGCGTCTGCGGAGCTGCGGGAAAAGCAGGTCCCCGGGGGGTATCGAGTGTCCAGGGATTTCCACGCAGACATCCTTGTACTTGCAAATACAAAGAAACACACAGGACAGAGATCAGGCTCGCGCCAGGGCTCGATCTCCTCGGGGCTCAGGGTTGGAGGCCATTCACAGCCTGGACACAAACTGAGCCAGAAAGTTTATTTTTAGCAAACAAGATAGAGTTTTTAGAAAATTGCTTTTAATAGCAAACCTGAGAAACATTATTTCAAAACGTTGGAATCAAAGGAAATCAAATGTCCACAACACATTTCCGTCACTGCTTACAATTGAGCTTCTGCAGAACGCAGTCCACTTAAACATTTGGTGAAACTCACGAAAAGAACCAAAAGCAAGGCATTCCGGGTCCTGGCGGGGGCTGAGCGGCCGGGCGGACGCCTGGCTATCTCTTCTGGGAGTCGCGCATTCAATCGCACTCAGGTTAAAATTTAAAGCCCCTGGATCCTGCTCCAGTAGCCAACCTCTCCATTCCAGAGTTTTCTACCTTCAGCCTTTTCAAAATGCGGCCACGCTGAAACTGGGAGCCGCCGCAGTGATTGGGGGAGGCAAAGTGGATTGTAATAAAAGTGACTAAATTGGACGAGAACGGTTTCTGGACCTTCTCGGTAGCAATTTAAAATTCAGAAGTGTTTAGAAGCAATTTACAACGAAGAATGAAAAAAGAAGAATTCTCTCCAACTTCCTGAATTCCTCGCCCCTTCCTCCGCACTGCCAGGCCCTGTCCCCGCTCCCCCAGGAGCCACAAGTTCACAACTCACAGTTACATGCAGAGGAAACAACGCTTAGCGACGAGGTCTCACGGTCTCTGGAAACCATACTTTACAACGCACCTCCCCACCCCAGTTCAACTCTGCACAGGCTCCTCTCCCTTCCCTAACAGGGAAAACACGAAAATAAAAACAAAACAAAAAACCAGAGCCCAAACGCTTTCTGGGAGACCGACCTTCAGAAAATCATTTACTTCGATTTACCTGGCGGGGGGGAGAGGGGGCGGGCGGGGGAAAGCATAAAAATGCATTCTCACAAAAACAACTCCTCCTGTCCTAAACTCTCCCTCGGCAGCCTTCTGGGGTCACGTCTGTCGGAAGAAATCCTTTCTGTGAGCGAAAGGGAGCGAGACATATATCACGGCTCCTGCAGCGGACGAGCCTGCGGCCGCGCGAGTCGCCGCTGACAGATCGGCGCTGATAACCCCGCGACGTTCATTTCCAGTCCCTTTGCCCGCTAGGGACCGTATCAGTTTGTACAGAGTTGTGATAACTGTTTGGAGGGAGCGAACAGGGGGTGTGTATATGAACGTGGGGGTGGGGAAGCAGCATTCAGCTCTGGGTCCAGGGAAGGTGACACCCCCTCTTCGCAGTGACTTATCTGCGACTTACCTGAAACTCTCCAGGGAAATCTCCGTGCAAACGGGACATCAAAAGTTGGAGAGCGTCCTCGAACACCACTGATGTGGAAGCCCTTTTCCATTCTGCGCACCCCATAGACTACCTTTCCGTACAGGACCACCCGAGTTAAAGTTCCCAAAAGTCAACTGGGGAATTTTGTCGTGAGGTTCCCGAAACCACCACGACCTGAGCCCTAGCATCCCGAGATAGGGTCGGAGAAAGTTTAAGGTCGGTCTCACACAACCGCAGGGCAAAAAGCACATTTGCTGTGAAGGGGCTAGGCGGGGGTTGGGGGACGGGGGGTTGCGCAGAGCACATTCTCCCCTCCTTCTGGGGGCGTGCTGACCCAGGGGCTGGAGCGCCCCTCCCGCCGCGGCGGCGGCGCGGGGCTGTGCACTGCCAACTCCTCCCGTGCCAAGGCTGCCTCCTCCTCCCTCGTGTGGGTGTGTGTGTGCGACTGCGGGAGCGGGAGGGTGCACAGCCGCTGTGTGGGTGCGGGTCGCCAGCCAGGTCAGGCGTTCTGTGGCCTCCGCCCCTCCCCCGGCGTCCCTGGGCTCGGCGCCCCCCGGGTGGACTCGCCCCCACTCCGGGGACAGGGCTCGCGGCTCAGCCCACGCCCGCAGGCAGCGCGGCGCTCATTGTCTGCCTGGGCGGCGCGCTCCCCTCCCCCTCGCCGTCCCCTCCCCACCCTCTTTTCTCTCCTCCCCTAGATCCCTCCTCCTCCTCTTCACCTCCAGCGCCCAGCTGCTCGCTGAGCGCAGTTCCGACCCACAGCCTGGCACCCTTCGGCGAGCGCTGTTTGTTTAGGGCTCGGTGAGTCCAATCAGGAGCGCAGGCTGCAGTTTTCCGGCAGAGCAGTAAGAGGCGCCTCCTCTCTCCTTTTTATTCACCAGCAGCGCGGCGCAGACCCCGGACTCGCGCTCGCCCGCTGGCGCCCTCGGCCTCTCTCCACGCCTGGGAGCACCCTCCGCCGCGGCCGTTCTCCATGCGCAGCGCCCGCCCGAGGTTCGGCTGCTTCCTCCTCGCGCGATCTCCCCGCTTCCCTCCCCTCCACCCCTACTCGTCGCGGGCCCCTGGGCCTCCCGCGCTCCGGCCCTCTCCAGGCCGCGGTCGGCTCCGAGGGTGTCTCCCTCCTCCCCTCCGGGCGGGCTGAGGCGGCTCCCAGGCTCCCGGGACACCGCGGACCAACTTCTAGTCTCTTTTCCTCTCCTCGAAGCGCTTATCTGCGCGCAGCCTTATCTCCGAGTTATCTCGGCGCAAAGGGGCGGGAGCCGGTAGTTAGGCAGGCAGAGAAACTTCTTTCTTGCTATCTAGCCAGGTCTGTGTGTGGGCATTAATTTTAGTGTGGTAATCTCCGATGAGCCGAGGCGATTTGGAAGAGCAGCCTAGAGGAGGCCAGCCCGGCTGCATTTCGCCTCCCTCCCCCACTCCTCCGATTCTCCCTGTCATTCTTCCTGCTCTCCCCTTTGGGGTCGCCTCGGCTCTGGGGCAGTCTCACGCCCCCCCCCGCCCCCAGCCCCTTGCGTTCCCCCTCCTTTTCTCTGCTCTCCGCTCCACCCCGCTACGTCCGATTCCGGGAGGGTCCGGCCTTTCTGCTGCTGGGGGTGACCGCGGGGTGGGCCGGGCTGCCCGGCCGGCGTGAGCGCGCACGCTGGTGGCTGCAGGCGCGGGCCGTGTCTAAGGTGTGCGGCGCCGCGGGGACGCCGGTGGGGCTGGCGATTCCCGCCCCGCGAGCTCCCTGCTCTGCCTCTGCTGGGAAGGACCCGCACTGCTGCCCCCGCCCTGGCGTCCCACTTTCCCTGGGCCGAATGGCATTTCTCTCTGGGGCTCGCGTTCGGGCTGGTCAGCGCAGTCCGGAAAACTCTGGGAGAGCCAGTATAGGAGAACGCGGCGGTTTCGTTTTCGGGGACAGGTTGCCTTCCTTACGCGAACGGTTTTCCCGTGGGGAACCCTCACCCCGAGGCATTTCGGGAGAGGGGCATCCGCAGAGAGGCGGGATGCTGCGGTGCCAACACGCACAGCTACTTAAATTCTTTTGTGTGTCATCAGCCCGGGGGAGACACTTCAGGGCGGAAGGAAAGCCTCATCCAGCTTCTGCAGATCATCCCTGGGATCTGGCGCGCGCACGGAGAAAGGATGCGGCCGAGGGGGTGGGCGGGGAGGACGCGGGGACCGGAGCGGTGCCTTTGAGGGAGGGCTGGTATCCCAGTCCTTCCAGGGCCCTGTGGCGGCTCCGCAGGCTCCTTTCCCCTCTCCCTTATTAATCCCCACGCCCCAGGCAGAAATGGGATCTTTGAGAAGTCTCAAATGGGATATTTGAGTTCTCAAAGATCCCATTGGAGGTGGATCCCATTTGAACTAGAATAAAGGAGTGGAGGCGAGGTAGTGTGCAGCCTACGCTCTTGGTAACTCGTCTATCTCCTACCATCCCCGTCTCCCCCACCTCGCCTCAGGAGCTAGACGTCAGCTTGCAGCGGCGCCGGACCGTGGATGGCCTTGACTGACGGCGGCTGGTGCTTGCCGAAGCGCTTCGGGGCCGCGGGTGCGGACGCCAGCGACTCCGGAGCCTTTCCAGCGCGGGACCCCTCCACGCCGCCTTCCCCCATCTCTTCCTCGTCCTCCTCCTGCTCCCGGGGCGGAGAGCGGGGCCCCGGCGGCGCCAGCAACTGCGGGACGCCTCAGCTTGACGCGGAGGCAGCGGCTGGACCCCCGGCCCGCTCGCTGCTGCTCAGCTCATACGCTTCGCATCCCTTCGGGGTTCCCCACGGACCTTCGGCGCCTGGGGTCGCGGGCCCCGGGGGCAACCTGTCGAGTTGGGAGGACCTGCTGCTGTTCACTGACCTCGACCAAGCCGCGACCGCCAGCAAGCTGCTGTGGTCCAGCCGCGGCGCCAAGCTGAGCCCCTTCGCACCCGAGCAGCCGGAGGAGATGTACCAGACCCTCGCCGCTCTCTCCAGCCAGGGTCCGGCCGCCTACGATGGTGCGCCCGGCGGCTTCGTGCACTCTGCGGCCGCGGCGGCAGCAGCCGCGGCGGCGGCCAGCTCCCCGGTCTACGTGCCCACCACTCGCGTGGGTTCCATGCTGCCCGGCCTACCGTACCACCTGCAGGGGTCGGGCAGTGGGCCAGCCAACCACGCGGGCGGCGCGGGCGCGCACCCCGGCTGGCCCCAGGCCTCGGCCGACAGCCCCCCGTACGGCGGCGGAGGCGGAGCGGCTGGCGGTGGGGCCGCGGGGCCTGGCGGCGCTGGCTCGGCCGCGGCGCACGTCTCGGCGCGCTTCCCTTACTCGCCCAGCCCGCCCATGGCCAACGGCGCCGCGCGGGAGCCGGGAGGCTACGCGGCCGCGGGTAGTGGGGGCGCGGGAGGCGTGAGCGGCGGCGGCAGCAGCCTGGCGGCCATGGGCGGCCGCGAGCCCCAGTACAGCTCGCTGTCGGCGGCGCGGCCGCTGAACGGGACGTACCATCACCACCACCACCACCACCACCATCATCCGAGCCCCTACTCGCCCTACGTGGGGGCGCCACTGACGCCCGCCTGGCCTGCCGGACCTTTCGAGACCCCGGTGCTGCACAGCCTGCAGAGCCGCGCCGGAGCCCCGCTCCCGGTGCCCCGGGGCCCCAGTGCAGGTAAGGGTCGCGCCTCAGGGTCAGGTTGTGGGTCCAAAGCGCTGGGGCGCACGGGGGACGTGGAGCAGCTACTCCACTCTGTTTTCAGGACTTTGAGGCCCTGTTTTCAGGACTTTCTCGTCCGGGTGCACGGAGGTCGGCCTGGTCCCAGGAAGGATTTGCAGGCCTGTGGCTGGGTGAGGAGAGTCTGGTAGCGCTGAGGCGATTCTCTTGTGCCAAGTTCCTTTCCACGGAAGAGACTAAATGCACATCTGTACCTTTGTGCCTTGGAGAATCGCAGGGCCTTGATGAGTAGTGAATGGCCTCTGCTACTGGGGAAAAACGAGGCTGGGAGGTAACTAAGAGCGCTTGAGCCTCATCGCAGACCCTACTTTGGGTGAGTGGAAGAGATTCCACGATGGGAGTAAGTCTGGGAGAGTGGCGGACACTTGATCCACCCCCAAACACACAGACAAGCACTTGCAGACTCACCCAGTTTAACTCTCCAAAGGGTGTGTGTGTGTTTTCCTAGAGAAGGGTATTTAGAAAAGCACAACAGAAGAGCTTAGATGTTCCTAGGGAAGCTGGTTGGCGTCTTCTCTCCCACAAGGGAGAGAGGGAAAGAAAAGATGAGAGGGCACCTGGAGTGGTCAGACTTGTGACTTTATGCTGAAGGAGAGCTGGTGGATAGGCCCTTTTGCTTGGCATCAGCTGGGCCCTGGTCTGGGACTGCTGCTCACATGGCCAGGCTGCAACTCAGGCATCCTGGAGCTGGGGCACCTATTCTCCCTTCGAAGTTTAGCCCACCAGTTTTTCAGTTTCCAATTTGACTCATACTCTTAATTCCTGTGTCTGGGAGCCATTAGGGGGTAAACTGTGAAAATGCTATTGTCAAAAATACCTGGAAATGCCTCGTTTTGAAAAGTGTTTTGTTTACTCCAGCACAGGAGTGTGTGAGCCCTGTTAGGCTGCTTTTCTCAGATGCAACATTCTGCGTCTTTGGTGCTTTCAGCTGGCTTCTCTTACTATATATTTCACCTGTTTGATAATCTTTCTAAGGAAACAACACCTTTTTTTATTGTTGTTTGTTAGAGGGGAGGTATGGGGGAGGCCCCTTGAGTCACAGAGGTGGCAGAGTGGAGGAAGGCACATTAATCCAAACAGTCCTACCCCGGTGTCTTGTGTATCCCAGGTCTGTGCTTCTCGTGGGAGCCTCGATGCTGCCTTTAGGGACAGCAAGTCAGTCCTTCTAGGGGCCAGGATTCCTTAGGATAAAATGGGACATTCCCAACCTTGTCTGCAAAAGACACCCTGGAAATGCAAGTGGTCTGAAAGTGAAGGAACAAATTTGAACAGCTCCCTGATAACCTAAGTTCTTTCTGTCTTCTTCCAAGTGCTGCAAGACTTGGTCTCAAAATTCCCTCTTTTTAATTTTGCTCTATCACCCAGTCTGGAGTGCAGTGGTCACTGTAACCTCCACCTCCTGGGTTCAAGTGATTCTCCTGCCTCAGCCTCCCGACTAGCTGGGATTACAGGAACGTGCCGCCACACCTACTTTTTGTATTTTTAGTAGTTTTTGCCATATTGGTCAGGCTGGTTTTGAACTCTTGACTTCAGGTGATCCACCCACCTCGGCCTCCCAAAGTGCTGGGCTTATAGGCGTGAGCCACCGCGCCCAGCGAAATTCCCTCTTTTTGCTTCTGCTGCAAAGCTGGCCCTGGAGACCATATTTCTGGTGTGTGGACTGGGATCGGGGACCCTGTTGAGATTTGCACTGTTGGCTTGGAACTTGAGAGTCAAGGGCTCTCTTCCTTACCGCTGCATAGGGACCCATGTTTGGCTCCCAGGAGCAGAGATGGAGAGACTGGGAATCTCTAAGGAGGCAATGGTTGGGTGTGAAGCTTCTTTTGTCAGTCGGGGAGTTCTGTAGGGAATGTGCAAGGGTGTGTGAGTTGGGTGAGGGCTAGCTGCAGCTTGAGCCAGCGC